TTTTCCTCATCAGATGGTTATCAATTTTTATAAATTCATATGATGTGATTTTCTGGAATTTTCTTTGGGATTCTGTCTTTCACTGTTAGAATGCACATATGATTAAAGTTATAGATCGTTGCATTCTTTGTAAGTGGGAAAACCTGCAAAATCAGAAAGGGGTCAAATACTTATTTCCCCCACTGTAAACAAGGGCAAAAGTTGGGAAGAACTGTGGCCATATATAGATAGATAGATAGATAGATAGATAGATAGATAGATAGATAGATAGATGGGTGAGTAACCTCTGACCTTAAACAGGTGGTGGTTCTGCTCCACGTGGCCGTTCTGATGGTGCGATGGCTCTGGAGGCGGCGCCTGGACCCGGACAGCTACTCCATCCCGTACCTCACAGCTCTGGGGGACCTTCTGGGGACCGGACTCCTGGCTCTGATTTTCAGGATCGTCCTCATGGTCAATTCCACTTTGGACTGAAAGCTGACGGATGCATACTTCGGTTTTCAAGGAGCTCAATGTTAGCTAGCTGGAGTCAAGAAAAAAGTTGAGGATTAAGAAGAACGGTGGTCGAATCTCCTGGTCCAGTCTTGGAATAGCAGGGTCAAAGTTCAGACCCCTACCTCTTTCAGATACTGTGTATGTGTTAAATAATACTTAATGACTGACACACACTTAAACAGTGAGGCCAATGGAGAAAGAAATACCTATAATAATCTATTTTAATTCACAGTTGTGAGAGAGATGACTACAGAAAACAAGCCAAAATAAACAAGTGGAACTCTGAGTGGTTATTAATGTGCTCTCTCTGTCCATTTAAAAAAAAGAAATAAAAATCTATCTATCTATCTATCTATCTATCTATCTATCTATCTATCTATCTATCTATCTATCTATCTATCTACGGCAACTTTTCATGACTATTTCTTCCCAACTTTTCCTCATGTTTATTTATATATATATAAACATATATATACATGTTTTACAAAAGCTGGGAAGAAATAGTCTATATATATATATATATATATATATATATATATATATATATATACATATATAGAAAGCTGGAAAGAAAATAGTCGTAGAAATAGTCCTGAAAAGTTTCCAGCGTTCAGAGACAAAAGTGTTGAGTCAGCTCAGACTTTGGCTAATGTTTGTTCCAACTCCCTGTGGTCAATATTTGTACTCTGACTCCTGAAATCTCACTGACCTCAGTGTCCACAATCTATGTGTTCCAGCAAAAGATTTGAACACAGATACTTGTTGGAGTGTGGATCCACCCACATGGGAGCTTTAGTTTGTACTCGACTGGACAGCTGAAAGTGGCTTCATTTTTGTTCCATTGTTGCTTGACTAGACATTTTTAATCTGTAAAAAGATTCTCATCTATGGCTAGCTTACTTGGTTTTTAAAAACAAAGAACTGATTTAGACAAAACCTCAAGTACGTTCTTGAATTCAATGCATTTATTTAAGGGAAAAGCTATTTTGGTTTGACGTTGCAACGTAGAATTAAGACAATAAATAAAAAAATGAGTTCAACTGACACAAATATCCCCTCCTATGGTAGAAAACGTGAGATCAGAGTCACTATAAAGTCCTCAGTGTTGCCCGAGGGGGGGTAGAAGAAGACCCCACATCTAAAGGCACACTTGAATTAAGTCGTCCAAATAAACCGACCACAGTAGCAACGTCCCCACATTTATCTTAAAGAAGCCTCCATCTGGAAATGGCTTCAGAGGCTCTGTTGCTTCATATTTGTTCCATTCTTGCTTGACTAGAGACTTTTAACCTGTAAAAAACTTGTTGATAACTTCTCACTTATGGGTGGCCCACTTGGTTTTTAAAAAGAAAGAACCGATTTAGACAAAACCTCAAGTACGTTCTCGAATTCAATGCATTTATTTAAGGGAAAAAGCTATTTTGGTTTGACGTTGCAAAGTAGAATTAAGACAATAAATAAAAAAATGAGTTCAACAGACACAA